CCCCAAAACCCCAAAACCCCAAAACCCCAAGCTTCAATAATACACGTAATCAAGTAAACATGACATTAGATAAAAATAATTATATAACGTAATTAAATAAATATCAGTGAAAATTAAAACAAAAGATGCAAATTGACCAGCTATAGCAAGAATTGGAATAGTATAAAGAAATTATGAATCTAATAGATTAACCATGGTAGGGATTAGGATGTGTTATTGACTGAGAGTGGATGGATAAGTATTTTGAATACGGTAGTCTTCTCGAAAACTTGCTTTAAATCCCAGAAATTGACATCTATATGGTTAGTTAAATTGCTTAAAACTGACCAGGACCAATTGATAATCAGAATCTGATAGAGATTAAGCAATTTTATTTGACTCATAAGGATAACTAGATGTAATAATGCGCCTTCAACACATAAGATCCAAAGATAGGCTTTGAAACCCTGAAGAAAAAGTCTTTTATTTTGAGATATAAAGGGCAACAGATAGCTGATAAAGCTTATTTTCTGTCGATTAGAGCTTGGCTTAAACTCAACAATATATTTAAAGATAGTCCAGGACCCTAGGTTTATATCTATAGGATGCAGTTAATAGGGGAGCTCAACTAACAATATGATCTGAATCCTTTGATTATTTCTTGTAGTTTCAACTTAAATCATGGCTAGTATCAAATAATGACTAATTTCAGTCTGCAAATGAAGCTCTGTGAGTTCAAGAGAATGGTCTCCTCTATAATGAATATGTCTGCTTGTTAGACTAATATACAGTTCTAGAGTTAGTGTTTAGAGTAAAATAAAGACTAATGTAAAATGAGTTAAAAGTTATCTGAACTTGGCTTTTAAAATCTTAATGTGGTTCAAGTTATAGAGAAACTATACTAAGATGAACTTAAATGTTTTGAACAGGATAAAAACCTAATTCCCTAAACAAGATCTGAATAGAATAATGAAGTTTAAATGATTGGGTGCTAGTTTTAAAGAGATTAGGATTAATTTAATGCCAATATATCCGGTACGAATGGGCAGAATTAAGAATCATTTTAAAACCGAATAGATGTAAACTAATTTAAAGAAGACAGTGAAATGACTTAGTTACCTTTAGACCCACAAGACTATATCTAGAGTGGATTATTTGAAGTGGAAAAGACTAATCGCAATGAGTATAGAGCAGAAGTAAATAATTATTATTAAGAGAATCAACAAATGGACTATCAATAGGATTTAAATATCGATTTTAGAAAGTATAATCCTAATCTTGAGACTAGTTAGATAAAAAGAAGGAATAGTTTATTCAACCAATGCTTTGACTAATAAACACCAATGGAATTGAGCTATTAGCAATAATTTTTTCAGCCATAGTCATGGTTTTAAAGCTTTGATGAGTATAAAATGCAAAATAAAATTTAAGAATTAGAAAAATAGGCTTAACTGCGAACTGATAAACTTTAAGAATTCATATCGTAGCAATAAAAAGCTCATTCGATTATTTAGAAAGGCAAGTTAGATCCTAAATCTTTGAAGATTAATCTTCCTTATTTGAGATTAGGAAAAATTAATAAAAATTTAGCTCAGCTGCAGCAAAGAATGATTGACTAAAATATGATTACAAAAATTGATCATAGATATTATAAAGGAAATTAAACTTAGATAGAAGTTCAAAATCATTGCGAATTTAAGATTTAGAAGTTAAATTGTAGAGACTATCAAAAAGATTAAGGCTTTAAAAATAATGGTTAATTAAGCTTACCTAATGATTTCAAGTTTAACTCTAGCAAGCAAGAAGGTTATCAATAGTAGAATAATTAATGGCAAAGGAAAAGAAACTTCTAGCAAATGAATACTGACTGCTCTTATAATTCATCAGACTAGAATATTATTTCTACAAGTTTTATCTCATTATCGGACTAAGCTTCAAATAAAAGAAGATGCCTAAATGATAGATCTATTACAAAATCTAATGTTGAGTAATGAAGTATAAATAGTGATGATATATCAAACTGTAATTGCCTCCTCAATTTTATTTATTAATCATTATTATTTCATTAAGTCTCCTACTAAAATTGAAGATGGGGTTTTGGGGTTTTGGGGTTTTGGGG